ATGAGATATTTGAGATTCTTTAAATATAGTGCATAATCTACTTCAAAACTAAACAATGGATTTCATACGGCCGAAATTAATATTTCAGAGCTATATATTCACAAAAGTCATTGCTCATTTAGTTTTGCTCTGTATCTAGTTTTAAAAGGAACATTTTGAAGGTAATCGACTTATGCGATTTTGTGAAAACGTATAGTGCAGAAGACGGGGTAAACATTTGATGCGCACTTTTCATCGCAGTTTTCTAGTCAATCTTACTAGAWCTTCCATTATTCTAAAATTCGCTGATCATTTCTCTCAAAATTACGTCAGGATACAAATTTGAACTTAAACTAATATTACACAAAATTGCAAGACTATTGAATTCATTTAAAGCGATCTAAAGCGAACGAGAAATACAGAAAACATTTTCCCTTTCCCAACGATTTGATGCTCTGGGAATTCTATTGTTTGCTAATTAATGATCATAACACCAAATTCTTTCGCACCATGCACGGTCTCATCTCGCTTGGCTGCTTTCCGATTTGAGCAATGAGCAATGACTTTTGTGAATATATAGCTCTGAAATATTAATTTCGGCCGTATGAAATCCATTGTTTAGTTTTGAAGTAGATTATGCACTATATTTAAAGAATCTCAAATATCTCATAATTAGCTTGATAGATTTTTTTCAAAAATCCCCACAAATGGAGGCATCCAGTATATAATTATGTGGTACGAAGCATTTTAGTGTTGAACGCTCTGCAAGGCTAAATTTATTTTCTAAACGAAATCAAATATTTCATCATAATCACGTGTTATGACGTCCGATCTCACTAAAAACTGCATCAAAAATTAATTCAATCTTTATGTGACTTATGTGCAAAAAAGATTTGCAATCGGATAAAAGACGTTTATGCACTAGCGTTCCAAAAGTGGAAGGTAGCGGTCAAGCGTGAGGGGGTCGAGCCACCTTAAATCATTCAATTCGTACGACCCCTATACTTAATCCACTTCCTATTCTTTTATATTGCTTTAAGTGGTTTGTTTTGCATTGTGTTTCCTTTTCCTATTTGGAAACGAAACCTTTCAAGAAGTTGTGTAAAACCAAGATAAAAGGAACTAGTTGATTTTCTCTGGGTATTGGTAAAACTCATAAGTTTTCAATGTTTGTCTTATACATGACATCCGCTGCCAAGATTTGCCTCATTTTTGCTATCCTTCTTTGTTTTCATTTCGGCTGCTGATTTGTGAAATCTTAATTCTGTGACGGAGGTTTTTTTTTTTTTGGTTGTTTGTTTGTTTGGTTTTTTTTTGTTTGTTTGTTTGTGTTTGCTCGATCTCATCACCGGCAACCCAAGGTTACTACTTTTACAAGAGAATGTATGGGATGTAGAGTATGCCGTATTTTATTTGGAAAATATAAGTTTGTCGACTTCGCTGTTGTGTCATTTTGTTTATTTTGAACTCTTGTATGCAGTTTCAGCGAGTTTTGAAGGGAATTTAAGAAAAAAATTGGTGTCCACTTCGAACCGTTAATTAACTAAAGACTAATAATAATACAATATAAATACATAACAAAAAGAGTACCTGCTTTCCAAGATTGCCGTGTATACTAAGTTGCTGCAGCTTATTGGAAATTGACTCAGAGTGCTTGCTTGCCGCAGCTCACATGGAAGGCTATTCCACAGCACTATATCATAGCTAAAACTGTTCTTTAGATAATTGGTGCGTGGCCTAGGAATAGCTAGTTTGCCTTCGGTGTTTCTCAAAGAATAATTTGTTATGCTGCTACGATCGATAAAAATAGAACTCAAATATGCTGGTGTGAGATCATGCAGTGATTTATAGACCATAACAGCTTTTTGTATTTTTCGCTGGACTTCTAGTTTTTTCCATCAAAGTTTCCCAAAGAGAGGGTCGACACTAGCGCGTCATATCTAGAGAATGTCAAAACCCTCGCTGCACAATTTTGCAGTTTCTGAAGCTTGTCAGTGAGGGTTTTGTTACAGTTATCCCACACTAACACAACAGTTATCACAATGTGGCTGGGTTAAAGAATTGTAGATAAACTCAGTGTAGAGTTGTAGTTGGGACGAAGGGCCTTATACGCTTCAGGGCTCCGATGCCGGACGCAATCTTTTTGGATAATTTGTCGATGTGTTCATTCCAAGACAGTTTTTGTTCAATTTGTACACAGAGAGATTTAGTGTACAAAACCTGTTTTATGGGGACCCCTTCAATTGATAATGATGGCCGGAAGTGAATCAAACGATGCTAGTTTGCCCTCGGTGTTTCTCAAAGAATAATGAGCCTAGAAAACTGCTTACGATGGCTTACTACTTTGGTAAATAATAAACAGAAAATTGAAAATTGAAACTTCTTTAACCTGAAATTTAATGCTGACTTCAAAAATGCAAAGAAAAATGGGGTGTCCCGAGCTTGTTTTTGAGAAAATCACTCCGGAATGACATGCGTTTGTACAATTTTGGAGAAAAAATCGCGAAAATTAAGCTCTGTACAAAAAAAAAACATAAAACCGAAACTAAGGAAGAAACATGAGTAATTTTTTTCCCGAACACGTAACTTACATTGTATTTATAAAATACCGATAAAAGTTGTTTTGATAAACTTTTTTTGTTCAGGTTCTACGGTGTGCAAGTTATGTAAAAAATGAGCAAAACAAACAAACAAACAAAACGATTCTTTACATTGTTCTAATTACTACAGAATTGTCTTTGAAAAATAATGGGATATTAGCTGTTGTTCTGGAAAATAAAATAACAAAAGATATATAGAGTCATGAACTTCTGATAGAGTCCCGTGCAAAATTTGAGGGTTTTGCCCTCTTGATGTTCAAAACGTGTTTTTACAATAAATTTCTCGCGCGTTGATTGGTTATTTTTTATCATCAATAAGGGGACAGACAAATAAAGCTGACCTCAACGAGCGCGCGCTCTTTCCGTTGGTTGTTTTGGTCGCTAAAAACCAAAAGTTTTTATCGTTTTTGTTATTGTAAAACTACAAATAGACATCAGTTTTTTATGTGTCTGTCCGTCCTCTTATTATTCTGCGGTGTTTGTGAGCGCGCACACATCGTTACGTGGGCTGAAATCTAATGTTAAAAAGTAGTCGGCCACCTTAAAACATTAACGAAAAAAAACACTGGTTTCTTCACCCGATCGATTCAGATGAGTTCAAACTTGACGTTTTAAGGTGGCTGCCTACTTTTGAACGTTCGATTTGAGCCCACGATGTGCGCGTGCTCAAAAACCGCTGAAAAATCTACAAGATTTTATTGAAGAACCATACGCGTTTTGAGCTTCAACAGGGCAAAACCCTCAAATTTTGCACGGGACTCTATATTTTTTGATAGCTCATTCGAAAAAACTCCTAAAAATCAAGGTCATATTCAACATTTTATGAAAAGTTTTAATCAGGAACACGTGAAAAAATAGATTTTTGTAGGGATTTTTGTTCGACTTTATG